CACCTAGCACCACATGAAAATAGGGGTATTGTGTTGTTTCCATCCACACCTAAAAAATAAATATTAAAAAAAGATGTAAAACAGGGTTGGGGCTGTAGCTCAGTGGCTGAGTATTTGCCTAGCATGTGTGAGGCACTGGCTTTGATCCTTAGCACCACATAAAAATAAATAATTAAGGGTTGAGGTTGTGATTCAAATGTAGAGTGCTTGCCTAGCACATGTGAGACACTGGGTTCAATCCTCAGCACCACATAAAAATAAAATAAAGATATTGTGTCCACCTAAAACGAAAAAATAAATATTAAATAAATAAAAAGTACTGTGTCCATCTACAACTAATAAAATAAAAGAATATTTTTAAAAGATATAAAACATTCCTATTGCTCCCCCAAAATTCAAAAGGATTTTTTTTTTTTTTTGCAATACTGGGAATTGAACCCAAGACGTTGTGTATGCTACACAAGTGCTGCTCCTGAGCTACATCCCCATCCCTGAGAAGAATTCTTTTCAAAGCCAGTGTTAACTTATGTCATTCCTCCACTCAAAACTTCCTAGTGGCTTTTCTCACCACTGAGAATAAAAGCCTAAGTCCTTGTAATGGTTAATAAGGCTGTTCATAGTTGCCCCTTCCTCCAACTACTCTGACCTCATTTTAAAGTTCTTTTCTCTTGATTCAGTCCACTCCAATTACATTTCTTCCTCCCTGTCCCTTGCAGACGTCAGGCACTTTCTTGTATCAGAGCCTTTACACTTGGCATTCAATCTGGAATGCTCTCCTTCCAGATACCCACTTCCTTTAGGTCTCTCTTCAAATGTCACCTGATCAGAAGCCCTCTCTGACCACCATATACAAAATAACATTACCAACCCAGTGTGGTGAAGTATGTCTGTAATCCCAATGGTTCGGGATGCTAAGGCAGGAGAATCATGATTTCAAAGCCAGCCTCAGCAAAAGTGAGGCACTAAGCAACTCAGTGAGACCCTGTCTCCAAATAAAATACAAAATAAGGCTGGGGATGTGGCTTAGTGGTTGAGTGCCCAAGTTCAATTCCCACTACCCCTCCAAAAAATAACATTCCCCCACTTCCCTGATTTTTTATCCCCTTATCTTGCATTATCATCTTTCCCAATACTTGTCATAATCTGATATTATATATGTACATCTATTTATCTCTCTATATATATGTATAAATATGTATACATACACACACATATATGTTTAAATCTGTTACTGTCTCTCATGTAAGTTCTATGGGAGCTGGGACTTGTGTGCTTGTGTAATGACTCCACTACTTCAAGTCTGTTATGAGGTGAGTGCTCAAAAAAATGTATTAAATGACTGTCCACAGCCACCAGTCTAGCCTACTCCACCATCCTCTCACCTGGACTACATCACCTCCCTCCTAACTGATCTCTTTGCCCAGCCCTTTTTGTCTGGTTTCCTTCAAATCATTTACCACACTGCAGAAATAACTTTTAGAAATTAAAATCAGGCCATCTCACTTTTATTCTTAGAACCCTTTGATGGCCATCCCTTGGCCTTTCAGATAAAGTCCCAAATCCTTGCATGGCAGTGTACTCTCCTCCTTCTCCATAACATCCCCTATGCCAAGTGTAAGGTGTCTACTCTTTGGCTTCGACTACCTGGCCATCTTGGTCTTTTTCCTCCAGTCATGCTGGATCACTTTGAGTTCTTAGCTGAAGCCAGTCTCTCACATCAGGTCCTTAGTATATACTTGTCCCGCTGCCTGGGATACTCTCTCTCCTGTTCACCTTTCAAATCTCAATTTGAGGTTTATTTCCCAAGGGAGGCTCAGACTTTGTAAGCTCCTTCAGAGTCCAGCTACAGTCTCTGCAGGGTGCTGAGGTGCTTCCTCCCTCCATCCCATATTTATTTATTTTCAACTTGTAAGAACAAGTATTTAATTTCCACCTATGAAATGAAGTTGTACCATTTAAGTAAAAGTGATAAAATATTTACTTTAAATATGTTGGTCATGGGCTGGGGATGTGGTTCAAGCGGTAGCGCACTCGCCTGGCATGCACATGGCCCTGGGTTTGATCCTCAGCACCACGTACAAATAAAGATGTTGTGTCTGCCAAAAACTAAAAAATAAATATTAAAAAATTCTCTCTCTCTCTCTCTCTAAAAAAATGTTGGTCATAAGCTTATAAACATGAAAGATACTTCTGAATACACTATTATGTGCTTTTGTGTACTTATCGCTTTTAAGAAATGAATGCTGTGAATCCCAAGAACAATAGTCGTTTGCAGGTATTTTGTGTACTCTTTCAAGTTTCACATATAAGTACTAAAAAACATTATGTGGGAGCCGGGCATGGTGGTGCACACTGTAATTTCAGTGGCTTGGGAAGCTGAGGCAGGAGGATCGTGAGTTCAAAGCCAGCTTCAGCAACTTAGTGAGGCCCTAAGTAACTCTGTGTCTAAAATGCTGCTGCTGACTACTAACTTCTCTAAAATAAAATACAAAAAGGACTGGGGATGTGGTTCAGTGGGTAAGTGCCCAGTATGTGGAATAGTAAGCAAATGTTATTTCTTCACTTTTTTCTCTTATCTTTTTAAGACTAACTTGATCTGTTTTTTTTTTTGTACCACCTATTGAACCCAGGGGTGCTTAACCACTTAGCCACATCCCAGCCCCTTTTATTTTCGTTTTGAATTTTTTCCCCTTTTATTTTTTGAGACAGGGTCTCACTATGTTGCTTAGGGCCTCACTGAATTATGAGGCTGACCTTGAATTTGCCATCCTCCTGCCTCAGCCTGGGATTATAGGTGTGTGCTGTCGCTATCCTTGGATGATTTGTGCTAATTCCATACCTTCCCAGCTCTACCTTCTAGAAGTTAGTAGTCAGCAGCAGCATTTTCTCTTTCATCTTCTCTATTGTGTTCCTGGATCTTTCTCTCAGTTTATATGATTCAAAGTATACCTTTCCCCATAAAGCTTTATTCTACTTTTGAATACATTGTTAAGTATATATTTTCAGGAATAGTAACCAAAAATTGAGCAATTTTAATACTTCTTTTGCTCCTCATGGCCATATTTCTTTCTAAGCTACTTTTCCTCTACCTTGCATGGCAGTGTACTCTCCTCCTTCTCCATCTACCTCTAAATGTCATCTTTTCTGTTCCTATTTGGCTGTTTCTTCCTCTACTCTTTTGATGTTTTTTATGGGATGCTTCCTTAAGCCTCTTTCCCTGTAGGCTCTTGTGTATCTCATGATCCCCATGATACTTTATATAATAGAATGTATCACAATGTATGATGTGGGTTCATGTCTTTGAATTCCTCCACGGCTGGGATTGGGTTAATTCTGGAGATTAAACTCAGTGCACTGATCAGTGTACTAATCACACTTGTTATTATTTAGTGTCCAGTTCTATGAGGGCAGGGTCTGTGTCTATCTTGTTTACTGTTAATATCCCCTGTGACAAGCGCAGTGCAGCTGCTCAAAGAATATCCTTAAATAAGTTAATGTGAATAAAAAAAGAGTTTAGGACTGGGGATGTGGCTCAAGCGGTAGCGTGCTCGCCTGGCATGCGTGCGGCCTGGGTTCGATCCTCAGCACCACATACAAACAAAGATGTTGTGTCCGCCGAAAACTGAAAAATAAATATTAAAAAAAAAAAATTTAAAAAAAAAGAGTTTAATCTTTATTCTTTCATCTGCTTCCTGATCAGTCCAAATTCTAGTTATTTTAATAATATTTACTAATCATTTGGCCTAACTGCTCTCCTGGCCTCTTGTCTTCCATCTCTCTGCAATCCATACCATGACTGCAACATCAGTAACATTAAAACCAAACCAAAACAAACAACAACAAAAACCCCCACAGTCTACTTGTGTTTCCCCTCCCCAATCCTCTGCTATTTCCCCATTACCTACAGAATATAGTCAAAGCCCCTCATCTTGGATTTGAGGGTTTGGCCCCAATCATTCTTCCTAAATCTCTGATCTTATTTATTAAGTGATTACAGTATACCAAATGCTATGCTAGTTACTGAGTTGGGAAGACAAGCACATCTACTAACTTTAAAGGGCATGATCAACTCTATTAGAGTCTGTGATAGATTATAAGTTTTTAAATTTTTTTTTTTTTTTTTTTAGTTTTTGGCAGACACAACATCTTTGTTTGTATGTGGTGCTGAGGATCGAACCCAGGCCGCACGCATGCCAGGCAAGCGCTACTGCTTAAGCCACATCCCCAGCCCCTAAAAATTTTTTTATAGTTGTAGATGGACAGCATGCCTTTATTTTATTTTTCATTTTTTGTTATTTTTATGGTTATATACATAGTATATTCACAACAATTCGTGTCTTCATACGTGTACTTTGGATAATAATGTCCATCACATTCCACTTATTTATTTTAATGTGAACCTAGTGCCTGACACATTCTTGGAAGCACTCTACTACTAAGCTACAGCCCCAGCCTGGATTATAAGTTTTTCCCTATGCAAATTCACAAGTTTAGAATTGTAACATTCAATACAGTGACCACTAGCCACATTTCAAGTACTCAATAGCTATGTGGGGCTAGCATCTATGGTATTGGACAGCACAGATCATTTCTATATCCAAGAAATTGGGGATTACCTATAGGTGCTTAAGAGGGCAAGGACCATACTGAGGACATGCTCCCTAACCCTAACCCCAACACTTTGGTTTGGGTGTATTTTCAAGTAGTTCTGGCTCCCAAGAGAGATAATGCATCAGAGTACTTTGTAAACTATAATGTGATAAAGAAATGCGATATAATAAATAGGCTTTCATCACAGCTTTGTGTTACTTCAAAATTCTAGCTCTTTTCTCGAACTTCTCCCATCCCCTTAATTTTTGCTCAAGGTTTCTGAAAACACAGGTGAAATGTTTATCCCAGTGCTAAAAATCTTCATAATACTCACCTTGAAGCTTTTAAACCAGGACCCTATCTCAACACCCACCTTTTCTGTCACTTTCCCTGAAAAGAAAGGACACGAATTAAGATTTTCAAAAGAGCAACAAAATATTTATTTTGAGATTTGAGAATTATAGAAAACCATCTAGGTAATGGGAATTGGACCCTCATCAGGCTCTTCTGGGAAATCCGTAGCACCACCCTCTACTGCAGCTCGCTGCTTTTCCAGTTTAGCAATCAATTCTTTCGCTGGATTGAAGACGCCATTGGTCTGCTGGTCACAGACATAGCAGCGCGGGGTGGTGCGGAAATGCTGCAGTGCACATCTCTCGCAGAAATAATGCCTGCACTTGGTGACAACTGGGTTTTGGAAGGTCTGGCGGCAGATGAAACACTTGAATGGTATTTCCTCATCATCACTTCCTACTTCGTAGTTTTCATCCTCATAGACACCATAGCGACCCTCATCAAGCTCACGTTCGATCTGCCACCCGTGCTTGTAATCTGAACGATCATGGAGGAATTTGCAGCTGTCTCCGAAGCCGCAGAAGCCAGTCTCCTTGTAGTCCTTACAGATATCGGGCTGGTAATCCCAGCGCACGGTGGCACGGAGATGCTCAGGGGCTCGGATGGGGCCCTTCCTCACCATCCCAGAGGAAGCATTGCCCATAGACGTATCTTTGGGCTTCATGTATTTCTGATAATTATTGATTCCCCGATAGATCTTGTCATCTTCCTTGCCCCTCAGCTCCTCCTGGATCTTCTGGCTGCGCTCAAAAATGGCTTGTGCGTCACGTTCCTTCTCTGTGTCTAGCTCATAGACGGCTGTCGCCCCCATATCCTCTGGCCCCACTGGTTTCGCCGAGCGAGTGGACTTGTAGACCACGCCGAGACTCTGAGGCTCATTCTCCTCCTCCTCATCACTACTCAAGTCGCCGTAGGCCGCCTTCTGTTTACCACTGCCGCGGGTCTTCTGTATCATTGGATTGTGGGCCACACGCTTCTTTTCCGGTCGGACCACAGTGTTGCCTTCGTCACTGCTGCTGCTGCTTTCCCCGGGCTCCGGGTCGCAGATCCGGCGTTTTCGCCGGCCTGCTGCCCCTTTCCGCACAGGCTTTTTGAAGAGGAAGGTGCATACTTGGTCTGCCGACTTTCCTGGAGAAAGTTGCTCTGCCATTTTAGAGTCCCGAGCTCCGAAACTGCTGTGGCTGGTGGGTTGCACGGAGTTCTTCACGTCACTGAGCGTCTTACGCTCTGCGGTGAGTCGGAACTGAAAAACCAGAGGGAAGAACCTCGAGAGAGCGATAGTGACAGAAGGCTAGTGCGCGAGCCCCTGACACTCTTGAGCCTTGGCGGACTCCGTCGCTTCTTCCGGAGGAAGACAGGGCACCGCCCCTCTCGCGGGGTGCCGCGGGGTTTCCTGGGAAAGAAGCCGAAACCGGTCACCTCTAAGGAACCTAAGGGGTAGGGATTTGGTTTAGATAACCGTGCCGAAATGTGGTTCGAAATTCTTCCAGGACTCGGTATAATGGGCGTGTGCTTGCTTGTCCCGGGAGTGGCCACTGCCTACATCCACAGGTTCACTAACGGGGGCAAGGTAAGGCAACTTCCCCCAACCGGGGAACGACTCCACGGACCGCGGTCCCAAAACAGCGGTGGGATAGGGAGATTGTTAGGATATGGAGTCTCTCTCCGAGGTGGGAGATACCAAGGCTGACCCTCCTCTTTCTTGGTGTTGCCTAAAAGTGGAGGCTTGCGGAATGCACATCTTGCTTTAGTTAGAAATAGATAGTTCCTGGAGGGAGAAGAGAGTGCCATAGGGCAGAGTAGCCTATCTGGTGCTGGAAAGATAGAGATGAAAGAGGTAGGTAGGTCAAAATTCCTAGGCAGAGCGGAGAGGCGTTTGTCATGTTCCCATTCCTTTAGACCTCCAATTGTTTTGGTCGATTTTGGTTTTTATTTCTCATGTTCACATCTCTGTAGCTTCTTAATTTTTTTCCCTACCCATAGTCCCCTCCCTCCGCCATGAAGGTTTTATCCCCCACTTTGCTTTGCAAGCCTTTAGGGAATCACATTAGGATTTTCATTTTTTCCTCGTTCTAGTCCTTCACAACATCTTTAAGTACACTCGGAATATATATAGATTTGTTTTTTGGTTTCGTGATTGTCTTTCACCCGTGAAGTACCAGGTTCTGGTGTTGTATGTCAATTTGGCTTTAGTTTAATTAACTAATTAAGTAAATTTTTAGCGATACTGAGTATTGAATCCAGGGGTGCTCTACCACTGAGCTACATCCCCAGTCCTTCCTATTTTTAATTTTAAGATAGGGTCTTGGCAAGTTGCCCACGCTGTCTTTGAACTTTCAAACCGCCCGCCTCAGCCTCCTGAGTCGCTGGGATTATAGGTTTGCCCAACTAATTTGGCTTTTATTTCAGTGATGATTCCATTTTTCTAGCATAGCACTTATTAAAAGTTGTATGATCCATCTGTTGGGTCACTTATCTTTACAAATTGCAATAATGTTTGTCTTTTATTTGAAGGAAAAAAGGGTTGCCCATTTTCACTATCAGTGGAGTTTGATGGAAAGAGATAGACGCATATCTGGAGTTAATCGCTATTATAAATCAAAGGTAAGATGTTTCTGATGCTAACCATCTGCCAGGCTTGAGGGGAGCTCTGGAACTTAATTTGCATTTTCTTGTCTACTAGTGAGGCAAGCAATCTTTTATGTATTTAATGATTTTTTTTTAAATACTATAGATTGAACCCAGGGGCATTCCTTTTTAAATTTTGAAACAGGGTGTCTCCGAGTTGCTGAGGCTGGTTTTGAACTTGGTGATCCTCCTGTCACAGTTTCCCAGATTACTGGGATTAAAGGCCTGCACCATGAAGCACAGCTCTACTTAATGATCTTCTGTATTCCTTATTCTGTGGATTGTTTACTTATATCCTTTGCCTATTGGATTTGTCTTTTTTATTTATAGTAGTTGTATATGTACTCTGGATTTTAATTATTTTTTTAAGAGAGAAAGAGAGAGAATTTTTTTTAATATTTATTTTTTAGTTTTCAGCGGACACAACATCTTTGTTTGTATGTGTTGCCGAGGATCGAACTCGAACCCGGCCGTACGCATGCCAGGCGAGCGCGCTACCGCTTGAGCCACATCCCCAGCCCCTGAATTTTTTTTTAATATTTATTTTTCAGTTTTTCAGTGGACACAACATCTTTATTTTATGTGGTACTGAGGATCGAACCCAGCGCCCCATGCATGCCAGGTGAGCGCATTACCGCTTGAGCCACATCCCCAGCCACTGGATTTTAATTATTTAAAAATTTTATGTATGGGCTGGGATTGTGGCTCAGCGTTAGAGCACTTGCCTAGCATGTGCAGGGCCCTGGGTTCGATCCTCAGCACCACATACAAATAAATAAATAAAAATAAACGTATATAAAAAAAGGAAAACAGCATTCTTATAAAAAATTTTTATGTATGTTGAATATTTTTCCCAGTCTTCTTTTTCACTTTGTGATATTTTTCATCAGATAGTAGTTTTTAATTTTGATGTTTAGTTTATCATTCTGTATTCTGGGTTTTACATTTTCTGTAACAAATGCCTTTTCTACCCAAGATTATAAGCATATATAATTTCCAAATACTGTTACAGTTTCTTTTTTTTTTTCCCTCATGTCCTTATTTGATCCAGCTACTGGTCATTTGGGAATATAATGTGAGCAAGGATTTAACTTTTTTCCGGGAGATAGTCAGTTGTTACTGTCATTAATTTATAAAACAGTTTATTTTTATTTGTAATACCATTCTAGTAAACTAAATTTCCATATATGCATGGGCCTGTTTCCTGAATTTGCTCTTCTGTATTCCACTGGTCTGCCAGTTGGCACACTAATAACTTACTTAAAGAATTGTTGTAATTCTGTGTTTGATTGAATCATATTAAACTGCTTTTTTCTGTAAGTCAAAATGACCAAGTAGTAGTATTTTCATATGGCTCAACCTAATAGTATGTTCATATAACTTATAGGAGTAGTTTTTCCTAATAATTCTTTTTAAAAATTTTAGATACTTTTTAATATTTATTCCTTGCTCATTTATTCTTCACAGGGAACCTAGGTAAATATTATTCTCATTTTGTAGATGAAAAACAGAGGGTCAGAGCAAATTAAATTACTCACTGTAGGTGATCTGCCTCTCAATATACTGCTATTTGAGATAACAGAAGTTAGATAGAGTAGTCCTCCCTTATCTGCAGTTTCACTTTCCATATGTCAGTTACCTCCATCAACTGTGATCTGAAATGGAAAACTCCAGAAATAAAGTTATAAAATGTTAAATGCTTTTATTATAATTATTTTTATTAGTTACTATTAAACTCTTACTGTGCCTAATTTATAAATTAAATTTTATCACAGGAATGTATATATAGGAAGAAACAGTATGTACATTTGTGGTTTCAGGCATCCACTGGTGGTTTTGGAATGGATCCCTAATAGATAAGGGGGGATAGCTGTGTCTACTTGTCTAGAGCTGTGTTTCTCAAAGTTTGGTCTAAGAATAACCATCAAGATCATCTGGCATGTGAAATAGGATTAAGATTTCTGAGAGGTAGCTCCTAGAAGTATACTATTTTGTCTTCTCTCAAGGCAATTCTTCCAGTAGTAGTAAACAAAATACCTAGAAGAAATGTCGTCACTGAATAATCTTTTAATTTATAGATGCTGAAGTATTTGGTTGTGACTCTTGAAAAATAGTGTTGTGCTTACAGGGCAAGGATTTTGGAGTTGGGGGTCCTTGTACTTGAATTCTAGTTCTGCTACTTCCTTACTGACTTAAGCAAGTGATTTTTTTAACCTCTCTGAGCCTCTATTTCCTCATCTGAAAAAAAATGGAATGAGGATAATAGTATGTACCTCAAGTTGGCTGTTACTTTATGAAGCAGATTTTACCCTATTATCCTCTGACTCAGAGAGTGCTTTGTGTAAGAATTGAGGTGTTAAAAATAGTTTCTTGACTTTAGTTCTGATTGCAGGGAGGGAAGGGTCTTTTCATGTAAAGTAATGTTTGCTGCTATCAGAAAAGGAAAAGTAGAAATCATTACAGATTATTCTTCTATGGTGATTATAAAATTCATTGCATTTCAATTCCATATTGTTGCAGGATATGAAAACACTTGTTTTAATAAGAGAGAATGCCATTCTGTGACAGTGGAAATAAAGTACATGGTACATCTTTGATGGGAACAGAATTCTCACATTCTCTTTTTTTAAACTGTTTTTCAGGGTTTGGAGAACATTGATTAAGGAAGCATTTTCCTGATTGATGGAAAAAACTCAGTATGGTCATCTACCCCTGCTAGAAGGTTATTTGATATATTATGAAGCATGCAGTGTGTTATGTGATACATAATCAAAATAAAATGAAAACCCAAATAAAATGAAAAAGAAAAATACAAAGGCATTTCTTTCTTTAATATATACTATACGAGTTCAAGCGGTCTACACAGTGTAGCGTTATCACTTTTAAAAACAAAAAAAAGCAAAACCAGGAAGCAGCTAAGCCTTGTACAATTATAGAAATAATGTATACCAAGCACTATCTCTGTACCTAGAACCTAATACATCATGAATGGTATTACAATTATCATTTTAATAGGTATTAATATATTTTTAAAAAACATTTCTTCATGGGCTGGGGTTGTGGCTCAGAGGTAGAGTGCTCGCCTACCATGCGTGAGGCACCGGGTTTGATCTTCAGCACCACATAAAAATAAAATAAAGATATTATGTCCACCTATAACTAAAAAAATAAATATTTTAAAATAAACATTTCTTCAGAGATTGCTAGGATAACGCAGAAAACAAATTTTTTTCCCCTAGTTCCTTTTCTGGGTGGATCCTGCAGTATTTAAAATTTTATTTAGGTGCCTAGGGAGGTAGCTCAGTGGTAGATCACTCGTTAGGAAGTACAAGGTCCTGGGTTAAATCTTTTGCATGGTAGGAAAATAAAATTACAGTTAAGATAGGTTGAAACTCGGGCTGGGGTTGTGGCTCAGTGGTAGAGCGATCGCCTTGCATGTGCGAGACCTGGGTTCGATCCTCAGCACCTCATAAAAATAAATAAGTGAAATAAAGGTATTGTGTCCAACTACAACTAAAAAATAATTAAAAAAAGTTGAAACTGATATCACACCTTCAGCTTTCATTCATTTTGTATAGTATCTATCACAGTATATGCATAAGTGTTGACTTGTTTTAGGATAGAGCAGTATCAACAATCATTTGTTTTATTCAAATGAGTG